ATATAGACGATGTAACTTAACTAAATGACTAATAAATTTGGTAGCTGTTTGAGTAATATAAATATGTTCTAACATCTAAGACATAGAAATGGTATTGTTTACCCGAGTATGTATCCAAACTTGATAAACAAGATTAAGATCGTGATGCGTGAAAAATATAGCAGGAGGGATTCCTAAGGCCAGTGGGAGATAGACCAGCTGAAAAGAAAGAATTTACTCTCAATACGAGTTCTACCTTGATTGTTTTACATCAGTACTTTTACGTATTTTATTTTTCTTTATGAATTTTATTTCCTGGACAGTAGAAAAACGATATGGAAACTCTATTGACTTGGAATGAAATATCACATCAAATACTTAGAAGTCACAGAATTGTAGCTGAAGTATATAATGACAATCTATAATATACTATTATCTCAGTGCTACATCCAAAGTAAGCTTTATGTCTATTTTTCTGTCGTTGGGCAGTAAACAAGTTTAATTTTACATCGATCAGGTCAGTAGGAAGTTAATACAAAATTGTTGTTTTGAGTAGCAACGTTCCAGTTAAACATCCTTATTTAGATGTTTTGTTAGACATTTCATTTCAAGACAAACATAAACAATTTGTTTTAAAACCCACGTAGATTTAGATAGTAACTAAAACACATTAAATGCGTCTTTGTTTATTTACGAAATATATATATATATTTCCTAGCCTAGTTAACGATTAAAAGTTCTTTTTTGCGATATGGTTAAATCTAAGTCGTAAAGAATATTATGCTCTTTTCTAATATGTAGGGAATAGTAAATCAAGCCGAAACAAGAACGTTATGTACATATGTTACGTTTGTGTAGGAATTTTGTGCTGTGATATACCTGCTTCTTTTAAACACAATTACAGGTTTTTAATACATTTACAATATCTTTGAGTACATATAAACTTAAAATGCTTTGTTTAAGTTGAATGAATTATAATTTGTTTAGTTTTCTAAATACGAAATTTCTTCATATATGTGCTGGAAGGGAACGTAATTTGAGAGCACGAAAATGATTCATCAACTTACAGAACACTCAGACAAGTCTTTACAAATATTAGAAAGTTTCTTCTTTTGATTTAAAATAAAAACTTAAAGTAAGTAATTATCGCAATTAAATTTTGTGTACACATTAAGTAAACAGCTCGAATTGTTTGTGATTATTGTGTTTAATCACATTACAGACTATGTGAGAATCTTCCTGAGAGACATCTGGCTGACAGGTAGAAGAAGTTGAAGGAAATAAGTTCACATCAAAACTACGAGAATCAACAAATATTTTAAGCGGACATATAAAAATGCCTATTGGATACTATGAAACATTCTTGATTGGATTTTTTTAGAGGATTCTAGTAAGCAGAATACGAAAAAAAAAAATACTATTTTCATTTCCGATACATTTTACCACTGTTTTCGACGTTATAAAATATTTTGGAGAAATCAGTGATTCAGCGGTAAATTTACGGATTTAGAAAGCTAAAATTCAGGGTTCGATTCCTCACGGGGAAAGTAGCGCATATAGTCTATTGTTTAGCTTTGCGCTAAAGTAACAACAACATTGGAAATCAATACCAGCAACAGTTAAACACGCTTAACTTTTTGCACGTTTACTGTAAAATTTAGAACTTGTGTGTGTGTGTCTGTATTTTACATACCTGTAGCATGATAATCGAAATTATTCTGTAGTTTTCACGTAAAGCTTCTCAATTTGAGAATAAGTTAAGCTTATGCATTTTATAGATGGGATGATTATTTGTTTGTTTGTTTTGAATTTCGCACAAAACTGCACCAGGGCTACACATTAGTTTATTTTTATTACGTTTACCAAACAAGATGGTGAGTATGGTAGGCGAGTGCAAAATATTCTGATCTTTATTGAGCATTATTTTTATGTCTTTGCTATTCAAACATCGTATAATCGTGATTTAAACAAATAAAAACAATATTAACCTTATCGGCGAATAGTGATAGTAGAACTTAACTATCGTTTTATGTAGTACTTCAAAGTTACAATTTTTTACAAATTCGTTTCTTTTATATTGTTTGTTTGAAGTTAAGCACAAAGCTACACAATGGGCTATCTGTGCTCTGCCCACCACGGGTATCGAAACCCGGATTCTAGCGTTGTAAGTCCGCAGACATACCGCTGTGCCACTGGGGGGGGGGGGCGTTTCTTTTATAAGTTTTTATTTCTTATTCTACTATCGGAACTATATTACAAGCCTGGTTAATAAAACATATTTTCTTATTTTCATTATGGGAGCTTCATTTCAATATGTAAGACAGTAAATTATTAGAACAATCAACAACATTGATGTACATACCGATATTATGTAGTATACAAACAAAGTCTGGCGAAGACCGCTGGTAATGTTAAATTCTTCTGAACTGTGATGTACTTGGTGGATTGTCCATAAGATGTTTATCTCTAAATAATACATTAAAATATATTGATAAAAAGTAATACTTCTCATTGTTGCTGGATTGTCTCATATAAAGGTTGAGTATGTCATATTAAAACGATTTCAGTGCCTCACTACGTCGTAACAGTCCATGTCGTCACGTTCTATCTGACGACCAAGTATCTTGACAATAACCCTGCAGCGTAGTCTCCATTGCAAAAGTCTCTGTTGTAAGGCTGTCATTTTCAAAGCACATCAATCCTCTCTCTCTGCAGGCTTTCCATATCCATCTAATGAACGAGGAAAACGGTTTTCTAGTGCCCGTTTCAAGAGTCAGATCGCAGAGAAATCCATAGGCACTGTGTTTGGCGGCTTGATCAGTATTTCTTCGTATGTAATAGTATGGATACACATTTCATTCTCCAGCTGCTTGTGATATGCAACGGTTGAACGTGTATGTCGTGGAATGAACTTATATATTTGTGACTTGTGTCACTTTTCCAGATGCAGAATCTTCTTGATTATGTTGCGTACTGTTGGTTGTGGCACGTGTACAGCTTTTCCCACCGAGCTTTGTGTCTATGAGATCTCAGGTTTTCACCTGTTACAAGATGTTTTACTTTGGTACGACTCGTGTATCTTTCTGGATTGTCTTGGTACCCCAAATTTATCCATAATCTATTGTTTTCCAAAGCCATAAAGTACAAGGGATATCCCATCTTTAAAATTCTAAATCCCATATCTGAGCATATTTTTATGATCTGAGTGTATTAATGTTTGAGTCCGAAAGTACTGTTACATACCCTTTCTAAAATCGATCAGTTTTTAATGACATCATACTACTTACGTTACGCCAAACAATGTCAAAATGAAGCTTATAACAGCTGATGTTGTCACGTGACTTGATGGTTTGAATATCCAAAGTTTTAATGTAACATACTCAACCCTCTGCATTCTATGGCGTCCAACTGGACGTTTATAAAAACAACAACTATAATTAAATGGAAAATCTTCTTATTACGCATAAAAAATATGCGTAGAATACTTTGATTATAAACGATTATTTAAAGTGGAATGTCTTAGATTTTGAATAAAAAGTAAGACATATAACATGGAGACAAATGATGGTCAAACTTGTTAAATATGTTTAGATCTAATTTTTACATGTTGAAACAATGTAAGCTTCCTTGATCTGAGGTTTGGAAATACAACTATACACATACGCACACACACGTACTGCTGCTTACCAATAGTAGAATATCAGTATAAAATGATAATGAGCATTTTTTTAAAGAGATTGATTAACAAAATCCATCTGGCTTGAAACGCTAATATATTGAAGTTAAATTTATTCTTATGCATAACAATGTATTGTTACTATTAGTTTTGTTTGTTTGTATTTAAGCATAAAGCTACACGATGGGCTATCTGTACTCTGCCCACCACGGGTATCGATCGGTTAAAGTTTGTAAGTAATTCAGGGTTCTTTTCTTAATGTGAGGGGCCATTTTTCAGCGGAGATTTTATCGAACATGCTAATCCTTAATAGCTAGTAAGCAAACTGTTCATGACTTAATTTTTGAGGCCAATTCGTGAGGATTTTCAGCACTGTTTGTTCCGATATTATGAGTGCATTTATAGATAAGATAGGCTTAGCTCTACATGTTGATGTTTCTCTATTAGATCAGGACTACTATAGAATTGAGACTTTTTGTTTTAGATTTTCTAAAAAGGAATGGAAGTTAAGTTTTATTTGACTCTCGTAATAGACTAAAAAACTATTTTAAAAGAGAGTATAATGGCTATATTTGTACTTGAAAACAACATGTTTAATTTTTTAAAAAGCCTGTGAGTCAACTTTCAAGCTGAAACAATACTTTGAAACTCCATCCTAAAACAGTAAATTAGAAATAAGCATTAAAACACTTGTTACTTATTATCAGTTCTTAAAATTATTGTTAGCTATTTTATATATTCAGACTCTAGTTCGTAAAACTGAAGCTAATATTTTTTCTTTATACTTGTGAATTCCGATTTAATTTTTCTGTATATTCTATAAATTTACAATGGTATATTTTTACTAAGTGTAATAAGTACACTCGTTAGCATACATAGTATGTGTCGTTAAGTGCTGTGTACATAGTATGTGTCATTAAGTGTGGTGTACATAATATATGTCGTGAAGTGTTGTGTGCATATATGTCATTAAATGCTGTGTACATAGTATGTGTCATTAAGTGCTGTGTACATAATACGTGTCGTTAAGTGCTGTGTACATATATGTCATTAAGTGATGTGTACATAATTTGTGTCGTTAAATGCTGTGTTCATAATATGTGTCGTTCAATGCTGTGTACAGAATATGTGTCGTTAAATGCTGTGTACATAATTTGTGTCATTAAGTGATGTGTACATAGTATGTATCATTAAGTGCTTTGTACATAATATGTGTCAATAAGTGGAGTAATGTAGTATGTGTCATTCAGTGCTGTGTACATACTGTAATGTTGTAGCGTGTCGTGATGCATAATATTTAAAATAGGACCATCGCAGTTACACTATGAGGTTATAAACGTTGTCAAACAAAATAGGTGAAACTGTGAACATTTTAGTGACTTACCATGGCAGAATCTGTGACCCCAATAGTAGAAGAAGTCCACTCCAAATAAAGAGAGTAGCCAGGTCCAAATTGAATTCCAAGGTAGGGTCACCAAACGCCAGTTGTCATATATCCATATGTATAGGTACACTTGGAATCCTCGGATAAACAACCTGGAGAAGACAAAACAATATTTTCAGTTATTTGAAACTTTCAGTAGTACTTATAGGGACGAAAGGTGTGGAAAATTTCAGATTTAGAAACATTTTGCTGGATGCTAAAAATCCAATGGGAATTTCACAAAAATTTTAAATAATTTTAAAAGATTGAAATTTATAGACCAATCCGACTAAGTAGCTTTAAGTTGAGAAATAATTTCAATTTAAAAAAAAAACAAAAACAAAAGAAACATTCTGAAACTCATGTTATGTTGCTGATGTCACACACACACACATATATACTGTTAATTACTGTTTAAAAACAGTTATGTTTGATAGGTCACAATCTTCAAATTAATTATCCATATTTTATATAAGTTCATTAAACATATAAGAACAAATGGTTTCGCTTTTTTAGTTTGTAAAATTCAAAATATATTATTCTATGTAATTTACAATACACACAGTTATCTTGTAATCGTATATTACAGTTTTATAAATTAATTTTTATCAATGGAATATTTTTGAAAGTATCGGCTCTAGTCAAACAATTATACTTTCATTGTTTGAGCTTTGTACCATCTTCTAAACATATGTCGTTAATATGTGCTACATTTCAAGAATAATTTTATAAATATTTTAAGGTTTAGTGAAAACCAAGCATTATAAAAAAAGGTTACTACCTACTTTCGATAGTTAACACTAAACAATCATGAAATTATTTAATAGAATTATTTTGTCTTTCTGTGGTAAATTGTTTCATATATATTATATTATTATTTGTAAATATATCTTTGATAATAAATTTAATAGATGCAATTCCATAAACTATATACATTCTTTTACTTGCCATTTAACTTCAGCTAGAGAAGAATAAATATCCAATCACAGGACACAAAAGAAAAAACATTAACTAATGACGTTCCGAGAATGTGATAACCAAATTTACTTACGCGTATGAATAAGTAGCGAACACACGTAAAACACGAATCAAAAAGCTTGAAACGTTTTTGAATGTAGGTTCATTGTTCATCATGAAAAGAAAAAAAATGGAGAGATGCCACAAAGAAATACCAATCTTTTCACTTCTGTGGGTTTTGTTTAGGTTATTAAATGTCCATAGAATATGTTTATGTAACATTCCGACAAAGAAAATGTAATTCTAGCCTAGGAATCATAACAATCTTCCGAAATCTGGTGGATACCACAAATACTGAAAGTTATCGAAAGTTTCAAACGTGGAAGAAATTCATAACTGTGTTCTCTTTCTGAACCACGAAATGGAATAAAAACATTATCTAAACAAGACTGTTCTTGTGGACACTTTTGTTAAACAGGAACTTTCCGAAAGAAACTCGTAGTACCGTAATTCTATGTTAATTCACGTTATATGTACATTTCTTCGTTTGTCCGCGAATTCTTCACATAGTTTGGAGATAGCAGAACCAAATTCCTACCTGGACTCGGAGCGACCTAGGAGGTGTCCTTAACTGTAAGAAATAGCACCCCTACCAAAGAGGGCTTAAAACGCGTCCAGGAGTTCTCCTAATCACGATGGGAATATGGAAGCAGGTTTTTAGGGTTGCTGAACTCGAATCTGGCATCGCCATTTCTGTTCATGGCCCTCTTTAGATTCTGGGGATGCCATATTTGAAACTGTTTTCTTACACCCACTATTCTAACGGTTTTTTTTTTCGGGAACGAACCATCATTGGGGAAGACATAAAATTAATTAGGGCTAATGGAGAAGTTCTATCGGCACAATAGGGCCTCTGTGAACCATGAGGAGGCCTTTGAACCCCGCAGCGGAGCGCAGGGATTTTATAACAGAACATGGTACGAAAGTCAGTCATGAAATTTACTTGGATAAACATATATTTGATAAGAAACATTAGGCCATAAACAAACAATATGTGTTATATTTTCTTTTCTTATTTTTAGGACTTATGCAGTTAAAGTTAACTAAACTTTATAAAATAATGGGGTGCAGTTCTAGATGCTTTGTATAGCGTGCCGCATTTTCCGAATGCAATTTACATGAGTTAAAACAAAGGGTAGGAAGAGATCTGAATTAAACCTGACTTTCCCAGGCCGTGCACAATGACCAAACACTGGCAAAGACAAGACATATATAGTAGAAAAAAAATCAAAGCTTACTTTGTGCTTTCATTAAGTATCCCTTGCGAAACGCTTGTTATAGTGTCGTTGGTACGGTGATATTTTTTGTTTTTCCATTTTGCCACAACTAGTTCTAGTACGTACCCGAGGAAGAACAAAGGCAGTGCCTAAAAAAGATAAACATAAGTACTATGCCTTCGGTACTCATCAATTCATAACGTAAATATTAAGAATTGTTAAGTATGCAATTGGTATTGAAATACAAATTCTTTTTTTTAGTTCTTCACTAGTTAGTTCAAATATATGTAGATATCAACTATACTTAAACCACATACTAGTCGCTAGTCTCCGCTAAGACAGAGACAGGACTGTAATTTTATGTCTTAAGGTATGTAACTTAGTCAATGTTATTTCGGGTCAGTCTTGTGCTATGTTTTGATACAGTAAACGATTAGCTTTGTTGTTCGAGAAACACACATTTCCGATGCTTTATTATTTAATTGTTGAACACGTATAAAGCTAATATCTTTTGATAGAAATATTACATTTATTTCTGAGTACAGCTTTTCACTTATAACAAGCCCTCTAGTGGCACAGCGGTATATCTGCAGACTTACAACACTAGATACCGGGTTTCGATACCCGTGGTGGGCAGAGCACAGATAGTCCATTGTGTAGCTTTGTGCTTAACTTCAAACAACACTTATAAGAATGAAACATGATCACAAACAGTATTCGAACTTAGCAGCAATTCTTAGTACATAAAAACGGTCCCAAACAAGTGATATTTAATGTTGTGCGTAGGACTTATCTACTTTAGATGATCGTCCACATTCGGTAGACTTAGGCCCACCATCCTGCCATTATCGTGAAGCCAACAAAATAAATGCCGCACATGTACACTTGCTAGTATTTATATGTGTATAGTGCTCAAAGAAGCAATTTCGTTTTTGTCACTTGCAAATTTTAAAAAAATAAATGGAGATGCATTCAGTTTTGTTTTCCCGTCCTCAATAGTGGAAAGTAACACATCTAGCTTGTACTTTGAAACCTACAATATGCACGACAACAGGCAAAACAAGCAAGTTTTATTATAAGTTGTTCCGAGGAATGACCAGTCATGCAATGACCAGACTCACGGCCCCAAAATGAGGGGCAAAATATTTTTGATAATAGGCCACGAACCATGAACCTTTGGATTTACAGTCCAGGCACGCTAAGCTACTAGGCTACGACCAGCCCCACCATATTTGTAAGTCACGTTCATTTAACTGAGATATGATAGAAATAAATGTTTCTGACAATACTGACGAAATGTTTGACATGGACGCAAAAATATCAAGTTTAGAAACATTTGTTTGTTCGTTTTAGAGCAAAGCCACATTGGACCATTTGTTGTGTCCACCGCAGGAAATCGAATCCCGAAATCTAGGTTTGTGAGTCCGTAGACTTACTGCTATCCCATCGGGGGACATTTCAAAATGTAAAAATACTAAGTAGCTAAGAAAGCGTACTAAAAAGTTAGATATTTATATTCTATATTTAGGATATTGTGAAGTCGTTATTTTAATATTGTAGCTACACAAAAATTTATAACTCATTAAATATTTAAACTTGCTCAGCTTCCGAAATAAAATCTGAAAAATTGTCAAATTACAGTCACACTTATTTGTCTCATGTCATTTCATTTTAGTTATCAGACTGTTTCTAAATTTCAGGGAAAATGAGTAAATCATAATATATTTGACATACAGGGTGTCCGAAAATTATGTGACGTATTAAAAACTTATAACAAGCCCTCTAGTGGCACAGCGGTATATCTGCAGACTTACAACACTAGATACCGGGTTTCGATACCCGTGGTGGGCAGAGCACAGATAGTCCATTGTGTAGCTTTGTGCTTAATTACAAACAAACAAACAATTAAAAAACCATAAACTACAAGTTCATAACTGTTATTATCTTTTTGTGGATTCAGTTTATAGCATGTTACGTAGTACTTGAACACCCTGTACTATGCATTGATCCCATAAGATAATCTATGGTATAGAAATCTAGATTATAAATCTCGCAAAACGACCAAATACAGACTAAAGATGTAATCACAAACTCACCTCATTGATGTAGTGTGGGACTTCTTCAATTTTTTCAAATATGTGCTTTCTAGGATCGACGATGTAAAATAAGTAACCAAGGCGTTTTAAACTAAGTATTTCATCCATTTTTTTAATTAATTCTTCTTTTTGTGTCTTGGTTCAGCAAATTTTGGTGTTCCGAAATCAACTGAAATGTGAAAAAGGAAATATGTAGATTATCTATCTGCCTATTTTTGTACTGATGAATGATATTAAGTTTACTAACCGAGGTTTCTATGAGTCTATAGTTTACCTTCATCAGTAGTTAACAATAGTAGGTCAATACCCTCGAAAATACTTCCCGATAATCAAGTATATAACCATGTCATAGATATAATAATTAATGCAAATGATAGAAGCCCTCCAGTGGCACAGCGGTATGTCTGCCTACTTACAACGCTAGAAACCGGGTATATTACATTAACGACAACAGCATTAGAATAACTGTGATCCAGCAAGTTCAAATACTAGAAGAGATAAATAATAGATAATGTATTAAAACTGGAAAACTTTAAAAGAAGACAGTGTTCGCGTTAACTAACTTTATTGTGTGGTTAGGCGCAAAACTGCACAATGGGCTATCAGTGCTATCCCCCACTGTAAAGAATATACCCCTACGTTTAGCGCTATAAGACATTAATTTGTTACTGGGTCATTGGAAGGGGTTAGCACTTGTAGTAATTCAAAAAAATCCAAGCATACTGTTCTTTGATTTCTACAACAATTAAAGATTCAAATACTTAGTAGGCTGAAGGACAGGTGTATTGATCTGTAGTAGTGGAATGAATTTGTCAAGACTCGGTGTGAAGTAGGCAGAAGGATAGGTGTAGTGATCTGTAGTAGTGGAATGAATTAGTCAAGACTCGGTGTGAAGTAGGCGGAAGGATAGGTGTAGTGATCTGTAGTAGTGGAATGAATTAGTCAAGACTCGGTGTGAAGTAGGCGGAAGGATAGGTGTAGTGATCTGTAATAGCTGAATGAAGGAGTCAAGACTCGGTGTGAAGTAGGCGGAAGGATAGGTGTAGTGATCTGTAATAGCTGAATGAAGGAGTCAAGACTCGGTGTGAAGTAGACAGAAGGATAGGTGTAGTGATCTGTAATAGCTGAATGAAGGAGTCAAGACTCGGTGTGAAGTAGACAGAAGGATAGGTGTAGTGATCTGTAGTAGTGGAATGAAGGAGTCAAGACTCGGTGTGAAGTAGACGGAATGATAGGTGTAGTGATCTGTAGTAGTGGAATGGAAGAATCATGACTCGGTG